GAAAGAGAGCCGACACAGATGCACCACACATACGGCACAGATGCGACGCAGATACGACATAGATATGACACAGACACGACACAGATACGATGTTCAAATTCCGACAGCATATTCAATGTCATTACAGACAGTGCTGGGTATTAGACAAAGAGATTTTCATTAGTTTCTTCAGATAACCTTGTTTTGAGATTGCGCTACGATGACGGTGTTAATTGTTCTCTCTGTATACCACCTAAGCCAACCAGTGGTTCTAAAACGTTCACTGGCAAAAAACCCCTTAAAGCAATAAAATCCTACCATGCGCCACTCCCCCCTTCACCGCCCCCCAACTGTATTTTCCCATTATAAGTAATGTTATAGACTTATGCAGGCTGTCATTGGAAGATACATTAGCCTTTTACATACAGTTGCATTATTATTTAACAAGTGTTTTGGAGATTTCACGTCGCTGCTGGTCAACTTTACTGGTCAACTTTACTGTCAACTTTACTGTTCAACTTTACTGGTCAGCTTTGCTGGTCAACTTTGTGGTTCAACTTTACTGGTCAACTTTAATGGATAACTTTACTGGTCAACTTTGCTGGTCAACTTTACTTGTCAACTTTACTGGTCAACTTAACCCGTCGACTTTACTGGTCAACTTGACTGGTCAACGTTACTGGTCAACTTTGTGAGTCAACTTTACTGGTTAACTTTACTGATCAGCTTTACTGGTCTACTTTACTGGTCAACTAAACTGGTCAACCGGTCTTAATTCTTTAGGTGGGTTTGGTAAAAAAATAGCATTTGTTTTAGTAGAAACTGCTTCCATAATGTCCATGGGTAGCGAAAATAAAAATTAAAGAAGAAAAGTCACAGGAAATAAGTCACAGGAAATAAGTCACAGGAAATAAGTCACAGGAAATAAGTCACAGGGAATAAGTCACAGGAAATAAGTCACAGGGAATAAGTCACAGGAAATAAGTCACAGGAAATAAGTCACAGGGAATAAGTCACAGGAAATAAGTCACAGGGAATAAGTCACAGGAAATAAGTCACAGGGAATAAGTCACAGGGAATAAGTCACAGGGAATAAGTCACAGGGAAACAGGTCATAAGAAAATAGTCACAGCAATAAAAGGTCACAGAAAAAGTCCCATGGAAAGACGAGCGGTGGAATATCATTAAAAAATCCTGACGAGATGGGGGTACATATTAATGTGTATAGTATATCTTTCAGTCTGACCACACTCCCTTGCTGACAACAATGAGTTTAGCATGATTATAGGTATGTGATTGCACAACTGCTTGACCTTGGTAAAGTCTGACAAGATTATGGAACAAAATATTTGTTTATGTTCTTTTGGGGAAGGAAACACCTGTACACTCTTTTGGATAAGGTAACATATTTATAATCTTTTGGCTAAGGAAACACCTCTTTACTCTTTTGGCTAAGGAAATATCTCTACACTCTTTCGGCTAAGGAAACACCTCTATACTCTTTTGGCTAAGAAGACACCTCTATACTCTTTTGGCTAAGGAAACACCTCTATACTCTTTTGGCTAAGGAAACACCTCCATATTCTTTTTGCTAAGGAAACACCTCAATACTCTTTTGGCTAAGGAAGCACCTCTATACTCTTTTGGCTAAGGAAATACCTCTATACTCTTTTGGCTAAGGAAACACTTCTATATTATTTTTGCTAAGGAAACACCTCTATACTCTTTTGGCTAAGGTAACACCTTTATAAACTTTTGGCTAAGGAAACTCCTCTATACTCTGTTGGCTAAGGAAATATCTCTACACTCTTTTGGCTAAGGAAACACCTCTATACTCTTTTGGCTAAGAAAACACCTCTATACGCTTTTGGCTAAGGAAACACCTCAATACTCTTTTGGCTAAGGAAACACCTCCATATTCTTTTTGCTAAGGAAACACTTCAATACTCTTTTGGCTAAGGAAACACCTCTATACTCTTTTGGCTAAGGAAATACCTCTATACTCTTTTGGCTAAGGAAACACCTCTATATTCTTTTGGCTAAGGAAACTCCTCTATACTCTTTTGGCTAAGGAAACACCTCTATACTCTTTTGGCTTAGGAAACACCTCTATATTATTTTGGCTAAGGAAACACCTCAATACTCTTTTGGCTAAGGAAACACCTCTATACTCTTTTGGCTAAGGAAACACCTCTATACTCTTTTGGCTAAGGAAACACCTCTATACTCTTTTGGCTCAGGAAACACCTCTATACTCTTTTGGCTAAGGAAACACCTCTACTCTTTTGGCTAAGGAAACACCTCTATACTCTTTTGGATTTGCAGTTCTTCTAAAGATGCGCATTTCTTTTTCTTTATTGTTTAAACATAAGAGTCGTTAGAGGATTTCGAAATATTGCATTCTTTCATTATTTTCTGGTGTTACTGGTGTTACTGATGTTATTGGTGTTACTGATGTTACTGGTGTTACTGGTGTTACTGGTGTTACTTGTGTTATTGGTGTTACTGGTGTTAACATTTTACCAAAAAATACTGCTTGACTTTCTCTTTAGCACATTTCACCTGACTTTAAATACATTGGACAAAAGTTCTGCAATTGATGTTATAAATATAATTTAGGACGTAGCTCTTTTCAGATTATAAACATTTGGGTAAGCCCCTGGAGTCAAGTATTTCTAAAACAGAGTGGCTTGCCCGTGGATGCCACCTACTTACACCCCTTTGGGTTGGTTCCAAAAATCATGTTTGTTGTTTCTAAACTCAATTCCAGTAAGTTGAGCAGGGTTATTTCAAACAGACCCATTAATAGATTTCTTAGAATAGAATGTTTAGCTGTACTCTGAATGATGCCTTTTCTCTCAGTTCACGGTGACGTCATCCGATCCATGTTTACTCAGTCGAATTGTGATAACAACAAATGATATCAAAGTGGAAAGGACATTCACCAACACAATATGCTCATTTTCTCCCCGAAAAAAAACAGTTGTTGTTTTTTTGTTTGTGAATGTACCCAATACAGCGCTTCTTCTATATCTATCGGCAACTCTGATATGACACTCTTTTCCTCTGCCAGAAACCTTGGAGTCACGCTTACAGACACCCTCTCCATGGACAAACATGTCACGAATATCTGCAGATCAGCATACAACGAAATTAGAAAAATCAGCACCATTAGACACCTCCTCTTCTTTGATGCCACAAAAACTCTTGTCTCTTCTCTCATTCTTTCGAAATTTGACTACTGTAACAGTCTTCTCGCAGGAATTCCTCAACACCACATAGACAAACTTCAAAGGGCACAGAACTCAGCATGCAGACTCATTGTTAAATCAAAGAAACACGACCACATTCAACCACACATGCAGCCACTCCACTGGCTTTCAATATCCTCTCGCATCAAGTACAAGTCTGCCAATCTATGCTTCAACTCTTTCACTGACCCTCACTTTCCTGTCTATCTCTCTGAACTGTTGCTTCTTTACATCCCCACAAGACAACTACGCTCTTCCATTGACAATAGAACCCTCTCAGTCCCAAGAACCAAAATTAAGACCATCAGTGAGCGCTCCTTCTACTTCCATGCGCCCACATTCTGGAACCAGCTCACCTTCCACATCCGTCAGTGGGAAACCTCGTCCACTTTCAAAAAGTCCCTTAAAACCCATCTGTTTAGGTCAGCCTATGACCTGTGATGCACCCTCCTTGCCCTGTCTCATTTTCTGTCTCGGGTTGATCCTTTATTTAAGTATATGCCCAAACGTGCCCAAACAAGTGTACTTGTTTTTATAGCCATTTTTATGTTTTAGCTACTGTTTTTATAGCCTTTTCACATTGTATTTACTATTCTAGTGTCTCTGGTTTTCATTTTATTTTAACTTTAGCAGTTTAAATAGTTTACATATTTTTAATAATTGTAAAGCGCTTAGAGCTGTAAGGTAAGGGCTTTACAAAAATGCCTAAATATTAATAATAATAATAATAATATTTATAATAATAATAATAATAATATTAAAAAGAGAAAAAAAAACATGGCTCTGTGTATCAACAAGGCAATCACGTGTTGACTGTACTAATGCCATCAGATGTTGACTGTACTAATACCATCAGATGTTGACTGTACTAATGCCATCAGATGTTGACTGTACTAATGCCATCAGATGTTGACTGTACTAATGCCATCAGATGTTGACTGTACTAATGCCATCAGTTGTTGACTGTACTAATGCCATCAGATGTTGACTGTACTAATGCCATCAGATGTTGACTGTACTAATGCCATCAGATGTTGACTGTACTAATGCCATCAGATGTTGACTGTACTAATGCCATCACATGTTGACTGTACTAATGCCATCACGTGTTGACTGTACTAATGCCGTCACATGTTGATTGTAATCTCACCGTCATGTGTGAGCTCAATTAGCTACAAAAACAATTGGTCATATTGACATAGGTCATGAGCTGTTGGAGTATAAGTGCTGTTGCGGTATAAGTGCTGTTGGGGTATCTTGACATAGATCATCAGCTCTTGAACTATATTGATACAGTGCATTAGCGTTTGAGCTATAGGAGCCATGTTTTGTCCTTGAAGTTTACATTTTATAACACAAATACTAGCACACAAATACTAACACGCAATCACTTATAAACAACCATTAGCACGCAAACATGTATCATTAAAGAACCCGGGCTTTTCATCACAGTCCTTACTGAGGGTTCCCATTGTGGATGGACAGAAAAAGATGTCATACGGAGTGAACTCATTTAAAGCGATGCGCCAAAATTATGAAACAGTTAGCCTCAATCTTTGAGGGATATTAAAAGTGATTAAAATAATCTTTTAAGAGACATTTAGAGACGTGTTTCTTTAAATAGAGTTTATGACGTCAGAGCGCTATTCGCATGTTAAAATCTAAAATAGCAAAGACACAAGCGCTATACAAGTAATCAATCAAGCAATCAATCATCATCGTCACAAACACAAGCACATATTTTCAAAAAAAAATTGAACAGTTTAGGGGTAAATTATTTTTCACGAATTTACTTTAATTCTGATAATAATCTTCATCATCCGATGGTAATTTCTCACACTTGGCGAACCAGATATAACCAGGTCTGCCGAAGGTACGTTTGGCCAGGCGTTGGGTAGTGGACGTTGGTCCTTCTGTGGTCGGCTCGGTGGTGGAGGTGATAGGGAACTCATGCTCCATACACCGAGTCCCAGGCTCACAACTGCAGTAGCCGTTGATCTTGTCTAATGGATTACAAGAACTTCCTTCAAGCTGGTATCTTTGACAACTTCCAAGCGTACCTGTAGGTAAATAAATGAAGTAGGTCAGGGTACATGTCAGTAAATGGATAAAGTAGGTCAGTGGACCTGTCAGCGAATGGATGGTGAAGCTGGTCAAAGCCTGTGTTTACATACTAAGATCAACTCCGGCACAAATGTTAAGAATTGGCGTAAGACTAAAATGAAATGTCTTTCCACAGCAATGGTATCCAAATTAACACAAATATGGCTAATGAAAAAATTAAAGGAAATAAAAGGAAGAGGAACTTTTCATTAATTTTTTTTTTATTTTAACAAATAAAATATCTTGAAAGGGAAATCCTATTCATATTAATGAGTTTAACAATTAATGATTAAAGTTATAAATATAAAATCAAAGCCCATCCAATAAAGGACTTGTAGTTGAAAGCTAAGCTCATCCAACAATGCACTGGTAATTGAAAGCTGAGCCCATCCAACAATGGACTTGTAGTTGATAGCTGAGCCCATTCAACAATGGACTTGTAGTTGAATGCTAGGCACATCCAACAATGGACTTGTAGTTGAAAGCTAGGCACATTCAACAATGGACTTGTAGTTGATAGCTGAGCCCATCCAACAATGGACTTGTAGTTGAAAGCTAGGCACATCCAACAATGGACTTGTAGTTGAAAGCTAGGCACATCCAACAATGGACTTGTAGTTGAATGCTAAGCCCAGCCAAGCATCTTCACCGTTCATAAATATATCTTCATCGAAAAGTTATAGATGTTGTTCCAAATGTTATAGAGATTCATCTAAAAGATATAGATATTCATTAAAAAGTTATAGAGATTCATCTACAATTTTTAGAGATTCATCTAAAAGTCTTAGAGATTCATCTAAAAGTCTTACAGATTCATCTAAAAGTTATAGAGATTCATCTAAAAGTCATAGAGCTTCATCTGCAAGTTATAGAACTTTATCCACTTGCCTCTTGTTGGGTACGGTGGTGTCATGGTCATCCAATCAAGTTGTCTTTTCTTGCTCATGATCATGTACTCACTCAGGATCTGGCAACATTCCCCTTGACAGCATTGGTCGTTGTATGAGCATGTGGCCCCTACAGCTGCCTGGAGTCAGCGAATGTCAAGTTTATAAAAAAAAAATTATGTTTATTAAAAAGTTTATGTATCAAAAAAGTTTTTTTATATTAAAAAAGTTTATGTTTATAACACAGTTTATGTAAATGTGAAGATATCTTGTCTGTAGTTATTAAAATCACACAACCAATTATAATCCTCAAGTAACATGTTAAAAATCAAAGGTATGACACTTGTGTTATTTCTTCTTTTAAATCGGTGTTATGAAGAAGTGGAAGCCACAACACCAGTATTCTATTTACAAACACCACACATGAGACTTCAATTTATTAACAAACTCACATAAGTGACAGTGACAGTTCCAGCCACCGTGAGAAGCAAAGGCATCCAGTACATTTTACCTACGTCTGTCTTCAGCTGTCTTTAAACTGTCTTTAAACTGAAATGGTCAAATAGACTTTCTTATCTTCTTAACAGTGATTTATTTTTTTACCCCTGTTATAGACAGTACATCTGAAACGATTTTTTGTTGTTAGTTTGTGATTATAATGATTATTGATTATTTTTAATTTGGTTCTTTGGTGAATACATCAGTAGCAACATTGTGATGGTTTAAGAAATGGATGAGTGTGATCACTAGGTACGATTATGGTGGTGAAATGAATGTTATGAGAATGTGATCTGTATCTGGCTAGGATAATAAAAACTTTATCTTTAGGAAATCGTCATTCCATAGGTCAAAAGTAGATATTGCTTGAGAACACTCAATTATCTCACAAAAGTAGATATTTCTCAGAGCACTCAGAATGTAACAATAATCTTACAAAAGTAGATATTGCTGAGAGCACTCAAAATTGTTAGAATAATCTTACAAAAGTGGATAGTGCTCAAAGCACTCAAGATTATTACAATATGTTACAAAAGTGAATAGTGCTGAGAGCACTCAAGATTGTTACAATATGTTACAAAAGACACGTCAGATAACGAAAGTTACACCTTAGGTTCAATATTAAATGTAAAGAAACTTACCCCAGTTCTGTGTAACCAAAGAAAACTTTTGTTTATTTGGATATGAGCCGTCTAGTGTTGAGACTAATGTAGGACAGAGTAGAGACAATACACAACACATGAATGGTCTCAGTTCCCACTAGCATTTACAGTACTCGATATATACTGGCAATTAAATGGACTGTCAACAAATCAATAATTCTAAATACATCCATCTAGCTAGACCTCCACATGTGTCACAGACACACCCTCTCCTATTTGACCGCTAAGTGTTCTTTTTATTTAATTCTGTTTTTACTGTTGCTTGATCGCTTGTGAAGGCTTCCTGCCGACACGTTCATTGTTTTCTTGCGTTCTTTTTTTTTGACAGGTTTTCCCAATACTTTGTTTCGCCCATAACATTTTTAGCCTGATTGCAATCTGTCCCCCTCTTTACAATTTCACCTTTGAACGTCGTCACACCTCGCTATTCGCCACCCAATCGATAACTTACTCTTTGACCACGTGGTTGCCTCGCCTCCCCACCTGTCCCACCCTCTTTTCATCTTCTGTGGTCTACAATAACCGGGGCAGCTTGGCTCAAAGATCACAGTTGGCACATGGTGTCATTACCTGCTGGTCATAGGCAACCCAATGGTCTAACCTAGTTGTTTTTATTTGAAGATTTTGAGGTCCAGTTTTTGTAGGAGGTTACAAGGCCAGGCAAGCTGTCCACAGGAGAGGTCGGGTATGAAGACGGTGCCGGAGACGAGACCTACTTGTTAATGGCCAGTCAGACCAAACTGACTTCACTAACTCAAAATATTTAAAACAGCTACCTAAATATGGCCAGTCAGACCAAACTGACTTTGCTAACTCAAAATATTTAAAACATCTAGTGAAATATGGCCAGTTCGACCAAACTGACTTCGTTAACTCTAAATATTTAAAACATCTAGTGAAATATGGCCACTCAGACCAAACTGACTTTGCTAACTCAAAATATTTAAAACAGCTAGTGAAATATGGACAGTCAGACCAAACTGACTTTGCTAACTCAAAATATTTAAAACAGGTAGGGAACTATGACTAGGGCTGACTCAAGGTACCGACAGTTGGGACACTTGCCAGTGGTGCCAAGTGCCTAGGGCGCCATCAATGATCTTGAAAAATAGGAAAAAGCATTTCTCGTGGGCGTAATTAAAGAAAAATAAAAAGTGATTAAAAAAAAGATTAGCTAAACTACAGGCTAGGAAAAAGAAATGTCATTAGTAGGCTAATTGATAATACTGTCCAAAATACAAGTTCACAAAAGCATTATCATTATTCAATGTTTGTTTACAACCAAGGTAATTAATTTATTACCTAACCCCTTGTTTTTTCCTCGCAAATTTTAATGATAGTACTTAAGTGGCGCCAAAGTTAAGCTTGCCCGGGGCGAAATAAACCGTGGTGTCGGCCCTGACTATAGAATTCGGGTCCAGTCAGTTATTTCAAAAGGCTTGACCTCGAAGAAATCTAATCTCGAATTCGGAGTACCCCAGGGCTCGGTCCTAGGCCCGATGCTTTTCACGATGTACATTCAGCCCCTGGGTGCAGAGATCAGGCAGTTTGACATGTTGTATCACATGTTCGCGGACGATACACAACTTCATCAATCCGTGATCACTTCTCAGTTCCCTCAGCTGCTCAGTATGACACAGAAGACAATGGAGTCGGTAAAGCACTGGATGACCATTAACAAGCTCAAATTAAATGATGATAAGACTGAGCTGCTCCCCATTGCGACCGCTCAGAAGCAGAAATCTGCAAATAACACGACATCCATTACTCTCTCAGGTGTGCGTATTGAGTTAGCTCAAACAGTGCGGTACCTGGGTGTCTACCTAGATAGAAGACTAACTTTTGAAAGTCATATTAACATGCTATGCAGGGCGATTTTTCTGGAGCTGCGCAGGATTAGTCAAATCAGGCCCTTCCTAACAATTGATACAACAAAGAGGCTGATGTCTGCATTTGTGCTATCACGCATGGACTATTGCAATGCTCTCATGGTGGGTCTTCCAGCTACGCTCCTGGATAAAATTCAAATAGCACAGAATAATGCGGCTCGCATTGTTCTCCGCAAACGCAAGTTTGACCATGCAAAAACACTTCTGAGAGAGCTGCACTGGCTGCCAGTGCGTGCTCGCATGGAGTACAAAATCGCAACTTTGTGCTACCGCTGCTTACATGACCTGGCGCCGTCCTATCTGAAAGAGCTGCTGACGCCTTATGTACCCAGTAGAGAGCTCCGCTCATCCGATAGTGGCAAACTCTCGACACCACGTGTTTGCCTTGAGACTTACGGAAAGCGCACTTTCGCATTTGCTGGTCCAACAATTTGGAACGCCCTTCCTGTCGATCTTAGAAACAACCAGACACTGGAGTCCTTTAAAACAGATCTAAAGACACATCTATTTCGCAAATACCTTCTGGGATGATTGTCTACCTTATTTTCCAAGTGTTGCTGTGTTGCTCCGGGTTGAAATGGCTAGAAAGACTTTGATATTGTATGCTTGTAATTAGTTTTTGTAGTGTTGCGTTTGTTTTAAATGTGGTGAATTATAGATTTGTTTTTTGTTGACTTTGTACCGCGCTTCGAGCCTTTGGGGATGAAGCGTGTTTTTGAAATGAACTTTATTATTATTATTATTAAATAAACCGTGGTGTCGGCCCTGACTATGGAAATAAACCGTGGTGTCGGCCCTGACTATGGAAATAAACCGTGGTGTCGGCCCTGACTATGGAAATAAACCGTGGTGTCGGCCCTGTCTATGGAAATAAACCGTGGTGTCGGCCCTGACTATGGACTTTCAGACCAAAATCAGATTGCAAACTCAAATTATTTTAAGCAGCTAGGGAAAAATGGCAAGATTTTTACTAAAAATAAAAATTACGTTGAGAGTCACACATTGACTACAAGTTGTCTGCTCTGTCAAAACTTTTTCTCGGATTCCTTCCCTTCCTATCTAACCGAACTTCTTTCTGTCTATTTACCCCTTCGACAGCTTTGCTCCTCTGCAGACACGCGTATTCTGTCCGTTCCCAAGACACACACTAAAACATGTGGTGAACGATTTTTTTTCTTTCTGCAGCCCCAAACAATGGAATTCTTTGCCATGACACATCCACAATATACCAACCACCCAGACCTTCAAAGCTGCACTCAAAACACATCTTTTTAAACTATACTACCCTGAGTGATTCCCCTCCTCTGACCGATAAATGATCTTGCTGGCTGTCGTCCATGGTTTGCCTTGTAAAAGTTATGTGGTGGGGTGGGTGAATATACATTTGTTTTTGTTGGTTTTTTTTCATGCTGTTCCAAATTTCATAAATTTATGTTATTTTAATGCCATGATTATGTCTCATTTGCAAATATTTTGTATGTACAGCGCGGTGAGCCCAGCCCTAGGCTGGAGTACCGCACTATATAAGACCACTAATTATTATTATTATTATCTCAAACTGTAAACATTTACTTTGAGTACACGTCTCTACTCGTAAACATTCTCCCCTGAGAGTAACCGTCTCTACTTGTAATCATTTACCATGAGAGTAACCGTCTCTACTTGTAAACATTTGCCTTTACAGTCACGGTCTCTACTTGCAAACATTTAACTTGACAGTCACTGTCTCTACTTGTAAACATTTAACATCGCAGTCACGGTCTCTACTTGTTAACATTTAAATTCGCAGTCACTGTCTCTACTTGTAAACATTTAACTTCGCAGTCAATGGCTTTACTTGTAAACATTTACCCTGAGAGTAACCGCCTCTACTTGTAAACATTTACCTTGACAGTCACTGTCTCTACTTTTAAACATTTGCCTTGACAGTCACTGTCTCTACTTTTAAACATTTAGCGTGCATCAAACTTGATCCTCCAGAACAACACTGTTGAGTTTCTTGATGAACGTTTGATCAATTTCTACTCAGTTTACTCATTTAGAAGACATGCTCTTATTACACGTCATCAGATAAAGATCTAGGATGTTATTGCAGACATTTCAGCTCGCCTTTACAATACATATGACGATGACTTCAAGATGTCCATTTATTATTTATAACAAATTTAAATTGACATCATATAGTTGGAAGAAATTGTGGAACTCAGTTGACTTTACAGTTAACATTTCTCGATATCCACACGGAAACTTCTAGGACTGTCAAGCGCATGTAACTTATCAAAGATCATGATTTCAGCTGCCATCAGGGATCATGATTTCAGCTGCCATCAGAGATCATGATTTCAGCTACCATCAGGGATCATGATTTCAGCTGCCATCAGGGATCATGATTTCAGCTGCTATCAGGGATCATGATTTCAGCTGCCATCAGGGATCATGATTTCAGCTGCCATCAGGGATCTTGATTTCAGCTGCCATCAGGGATCATGATTTCAGCTGCCATCAGGGATCATGATTTCAGCTGCCATCAGGAATCATGATTTCAGCTGCCATCAGGGATCATGATTTCAGCTGCCATCAGGGATCATGATTTCAGCTGCCATTAGGGATCATGATTTCGTCTGACATTAGGGATCATGATTTCGGCTGCCAATAGGGATCATGTCTTCAGCTGCCATTAGGGAATCTTTTTGCACGGAAAATATATTTGTTGCCCCAGAAAATTATAGACTTTTTTATATTAATGTTTTTCTTTGATGTGATCTTAAGTCTTTTGGCGTCAAGATTAGGTCTTGTATAGATTGTTATATTAGGTCTTATATCAGCTTTTTTATCACGGTCTTATATAAGGTAATAAAAAGGTCTATTTTTATAATAATTATTATGTGTTAATTGTTCTCTCTGTATACCGCCTAAGCCAACCAGTGGTTCTAAAACGTTCGCCGGCAAAAAACCCCTTAAAGCAATAAAATCCTACCAAGGGCCACCCCCCCTCCCGCTGTCTTTTCCCATTATAAGTAATCTTATTGACTTATGCAGGCCGTCATTGGAAGATACATTAGCCTTTTACAGTATTATTATTATTTAACAAGAGTTTTGGAGATTTCACGTCGCCGTTGGTCAAATTTACTAGTCAACTTTACCGGTCAACTTTACTGGTCAACTCTACTGGTCAACTTTACTGGTGAACTTTACTGGCCAACTTTACTGTTCAACTTTACTGATCAACCGGTCTTGATGCTTTGGGTGGTTTGGTAAAGAAATAGCATTTGTTTTAGAAGAAACTGATTCCATAATGTCCATGGGTAGCGAAAATAAAAATCAAAGAAAAATAGTCACAGGAAAAAGCTTACAGGAAATAAGTCACAGGAAATAAGTCACAGGAAATAAGTCACAGGAAATAAGTCACAGGAAATAAGTCACAGGAAATAAGTCACAGGAAATAAGTCACAGGAAATAAGTCACAGGAAATAAGTCACAGGAAATAAGTCACAGGAAATAAGTCACAGGAAATAAGTCACAGGAAATAAGTCACATGGAGAAAGGTCATAGGAAAATAGTCACAGCAATAAAAGGTCACAGAAAAAGTCCCATGGAAAAATGAGCCGTGAAATATCATAAATAAATCCTGACAAGATTGGGGTACAAATTAATGTGTAGATCTTTCAGTCTGACCACACTCCCTTGCTGACAACAATGAGTGTAGCGTGATTATAGGTATGTGATTGTACAACAGCAAAAAAAAGGGGGGGGGACCTTGGTAAAGTCTGACAAGATTGTGGAACAAAATATGTGTTTATATTCTTTTGGGGAAGGAAACACCTGTACACTCTTCTGGCTAAGGAAACACCTCTATACTCTTTTGGCTAAGGAAACATCTCTATACTCTTTTGGCTAAGGAAACACCTCTATACTCTTTTGGATAAGGAAACACTTCTACACTCTTCTGGCTAAGGAAACACCTCTATACTCTTCTGGCTGAGGAAACACCTCTATACTCTTTTGGCTAAGGAAAACACCTCTATACTCTTTTGGATTTGCAGTTCTTCTAAAGATGCACATTTCTTTTTCTTTATTTTTTAAACATAAGATTTGTTAGAGGATTTCCAAATATTGCATTCTTTCATTATTTACTGGTGTTAAAGGTGTTACTGGTGTTACTGATGTAACTAGTGTTACTGGTGTTACTGGTGTTACTGGTGTTACTAGTGTTACTGGTGTTACTGGTTTACTGGTGTTACTGGTTTTACTGGTGTTACTGGTGTTACTGGTGTTAATGGTGTTAATGGTGTTACTGGTGTTACTGGTGTTACTGGTGTTACTCGTGTTACTCGTGTTACTCGTGTTACTGGTGTTATTTGTGTTACTGGTGTTACTCGTGTTACTGGTGTTACTCGTGTTACTGGTGTTACTGGTGTTACTCGTGTTACTGGTGTTACTGGTGTTACTCGTGTTACTGGTGTTACTCGTGTTACTGGTGTTACTGGTGTTACGCGTGTTACTGGTGTTACTGGTGTTACGCGTGTTACTGGTGTTACTGGTGTTACTGGTGTTACTGGTGTTACTGGTGTTACTGGTGTTACTGGTGTTACTCGTGTTACTCGTGTTACTGGTGTTAACATTTTACCAAAAATACTGCTCGACTTTCTTTTTTGGCTAATGAAACACCTCTATACTCTTCTGGCTAAGGAAACACTTCCATACTCTTTTGGCTAAGGAAACGCCTCTATACTCTTCTGGCTAAGGAAACACTTCTATACTGCTCGACTTTGTCTTTAGCACATTTCACCTTACTTTAAATACATTGGACAAAAGGTATGCAATTGATGTTATAAATACAATTTAGGACGTAGTCCTTTTCAGATTATAAACATTTGGGTAAGCCCCTGGAGTCAAGTATTTGTAAAACAGAGTGGCTTGCCCGTGGATGCCGCCTACTTACACCCCTTTGGGTTGGTTCCAAAATCTTGTTTGTTGTTTCTAAACTCAATTCCAGTAAGTTGAGCAGGGTTATTTAAAACAGACCCATTAATAGAGTTCTTAGAATAGAATGTTTAGTTTTATTCTGAATAATGCCTTTCCTCTCAATTCACAGTGACGTCATCCGATCCATGTTTACTTGGTCGAACCGTGATAACAACAAATGATATCAAAGCGGAAAGGACATTCACCAACCCAATATACTTTTTCTCCCCGAAATTTTTTTTTTTTTTGATAGTGAATGTACCCAATAGAGCGTTACCCAATAGAGCGCTACTCAATAGAGCTCTACCCAATAGAGCGCTACCCAATAGAGCGCTACTCAATAGAGCGCTACTCAATAGAGCGCTACCCAATAGAGCGCTACTCAATAGAGCGCTACTCAATAGAGCGGTACTCAATAGAGCGCTACCCAATAGAGCACTACTCAATAGAGCGCTACTCAATAGAGCGCTACTCAATAGAGCGCCACTCAATAGAGCGCTACTCAATAGAGCGCTACCCAATAGAGCGCTACTCAATAGAGCGCTACCCAATAGAGCACTACTCAATAGAGCGCTACCCAATAGAGCGCTACCCAATAGAGCACTACTCAATAGAGCGCTACCCAATAGAGCGCTACCCAATAGAGCACTACTCAATAGAGCGCTACTCAATAGAGCGCTACTCAATAGAGCACTACTCAATAGAGCGCTACCCAATAGAGCACTACTCAATAGAGCGCTACCCAATAGAGCACTACTCAATAGAGCGCTACCCAATAGAGCACTACTCAATAGAGCGCTACCCAATAGAGCACTACTCAATAGAGCGCTACTCAATAGAGCGCTACTCAATAGAGCGCTACCCAATAGAGCACTACTCAATAGAGCGCTACTCATTAGAGCACTACTCAATAGAGCGATACTCAATAGAGCGCCACTCAATAGAGCGGTACTCAATAGAGCGCTACTCAATAGAGCGCTACTCAATAGAGCGCTACTCAATAGAGCGCTACTCAATAGAGCGCTACTCAATAGAGCGCTACTCAATAGAGCACTACCCAATAGAGCGCTACTCAATAGAGCGCTACTCAACAGTTCGCATGGAAGAAAAAAAAGAGTGTCTCAGGAAAAGCTGATTAAGACAGCAGGTTTAGAGAGTAATGACGTAAGCACAAATATCTGGGATGTCCGCATCCACAAAGACAGTTGCCTCTCATCCCATGACTGAGAAGTGGGCACAATAATGGAACACGTCACAGATTGAAAGGCGTGTGCTCACATTAGCGACAACCTATCTATACAACAGTATGACTTTGGATCACTTGGGATTTTATGGGAAAAAATCGTGTGACCATCCGGTAGAGTTGTTTAATGGAAATTGAGGTTGTTTCTTTATTGGGTGTTTGTTGGATGTGTATTTGATGTGTATTTGATGTGTATTTGATGTGTATTTGATGTGTATTTGATGTGTATTTGATGTGTATTTGATGTGTATTTGATGTGTATTTGATGTGTATTTGATGTGTAGTTGATGTGTATTTGATGTGTGTTGGATGTGTATTGATGTATGTGTGAGTGTATTTGAATATTGGTTGAAATAATGTAAAAGTATACATCCGTGGAGCTATCAGTTCATGCTTTCATCATGCCATAATTTCTCCCGACGTCTTTGACATTCGAAACAAAAATGGCTGCCATGCAAAGAAATGGAGCTGACAACATGGCGTAAAGTCTACGACGAAATTCTTTGCCTATTTATCAGAGTATTTTAAGCTAAGAAATAATAATTTGTTTTAGCAATGACAACAGACATATCATTAGCATTTATAGTCTTCAGTCATTTTATTTCATAGCGGACAGCGATAAACACTGCGTTCAATGTGTCGGCTTCATTTTTAAAACAGCAACACTGGAGAAAAAAGCCGAGAGGGAAGAGAGGGGGGAGAGGCGAGAGAGAGGAAGAGGGAAGAGAGAGGGAGAGAGGGAATAGAGAAGGGAGATAGAGAGAGATAGAGGATAAGAGAGAGAATGAGAGAGAGGGGAGAGAAAGAGAAAGAGAGAGAGTGTGAGAGAGTGTTTGAAAGACAGAGAAAGAGAGAGAGAACGAGAAAATAAAAATTAAGATATAGAAGATATCGATGAATGAAATTAAATTTAATGTCTGGGGAAAGCACTGAGTGCAGGAGAAGATAGAGAGATTGGAGACTGTTAATTAGGGTTTGAGGTCATTGAGGACGTGTGTGGTTTGAGTAGGGACGGTTTTTCCGTGCCACATCTCACAGATCACAAGCACATTCCAGAATGTTGGCACACTGCTGAGATACATTCATTTGATTGGTGAATAGTTTTTTTGTTAAATATAAACTTTACTATAGACAACTATCGTTTAATGTCTTTATTTGACAAAATTCTGCCATATCTGACCTAAGTCTGACATATTTGACCACAGTCCGCCATATTTGACCACAGTCCGCCATATTTGACCACAGTCCGCCATATTTGTCCAATGTCCGTAATTTTCTCTTCATCGTGTTTTAAGCCATGCAAATCCAGGAATAACCCGGCTTGACAGGTGAACGCCTTGCCAAGTAGGGCGTGGTCAACTTTGAATCGTCTTCATTGAGGCTTCGATCTTGCTCCGTGATGGTGGGGGTGGTAGCCTTCTCCACCTCGGTACATTGGGTCCCGGGCTCACAACTGCAGTAGCCGTTCGCTACGTCCAGAGAGTCACATGAATGTCCTTCAGTCTGGTACAGTTGACAAGTTCCCCTGGTACCTATCAGAGAACAAATCAAAACTGTTACGTGCTCTAGATTCCCTCGCTTTAGTGGGTTCAGGGCAAAATCTTCAGACGGCTAGCTGACCCACTTCCCGACAATTTTTCGAAACGTACTAGACTCGTTGCGGATGGCAACACATTCTGTCAAACGTTCAGCTCCACCCTCCCACCCAGCTGCTGTACACTACTCACTCCTCTGTCATTTGACATTCTCTCTAAGTGTCCTACCCAGCTGCTGTACACTACTCACTCCTCTGTCATTTGACATTCTCTCTAAGTGTCCTACCCAGCTGCTGTACACTACTCACTCCTCTGTCATTTGACATTCTCTCTAAGTGTCCTACCCAGCTGCTGTAGATCCTTTCCCACACTACACCTCCATCTATGCCTACGTCTGCATCATAGCCGTTTCCCTCCGGGAGTTTTGGTGTTGCGCCCTACTCACTCCTCTGTCATTTGACATTCTCTTTTAGTGTCCTGCCCAGCGTAGCCTGCCTGCCCTTTTCATTTCGGCTACTAGTGTGGGATCCTGATATAGACTGTACAGTTCCTGGTTCGTTGGTAATCTTCATCCATATTCATTCTTTGTTGGTCTATGAATTTTCCGGAGAACTTGTCTCTATGTGCTCTGTAGGTTTTCTGTCGTTTCTGTTAGAGTCCAAGTTTCATTTGCGTATGTTACAAACTGGTCTGATTACAGTTTTATAAATAGCTTTCTTTGTTTTGTAATGTTTCTACTTTTGAGTATTTTCTAACTACTGTTTCCGGCCACATATTACTTCATTTATTTCTGTTAGTAATTTGTTTCTTTCATTATTAAGGATCCTAAGTTTTTGAATTGATGCATGCTTTTTCAAAAGTGTGTTTTCTAATTTTAATGGTTTCATCCGTCTGTTCTTCTCTTAACACAGTAATTTTTTTTTTTAACCTCTAGCTCTGCTAGGAGTGATTTTTCTTCTGATTTAATAACGGCTTTTGATATTTCTTTACAGTTCTATGATACAATTAATTAAGGTGTGACTTGGACCTTAATGTAACCAGTTTTGTTAATGTTAATATATTGGTTAAATTAAGCAAGGCCAGAGCGTAACTATGCTCTGGCGGCGACCTTGTCTTGTGGCACCCTACTCTGGTGGTACCCTGCTCTGGTGGCACCCTGCTCTGGAGGCAACCTGCTCTGGCGGCACCCTGCTCTGGTGACACCCTGCTCTGATGGTGCCCTGCTTTGGTGGCACCCTGGTCTTGTAGCACCCAACTCTGGTGACACCCTGGTCTTGTATTACGCTACTCTGGTGGCACACTGTTCTTGTATTTAATTTAGATCTGTTATGAAACCCAATCGATTGAGTCCTGTCAAATTTCAATTTTCCATTTGGTGCCCCCCTCCCCTCCCGGTGGAGGCGTAACCCAGTGTGGTCCGCACTCCCCCTGCCCCAGTGGCGCCACTGAACTGACTGTTAAGGTCCTCAACTTCAAGTCGGCTTTTGGTGCAGCCTCTGAGGTTATACTCAGTAACGTCACTCAGCTAGTAGTACCATTCTTAAGACCATTCGTAACACCATTCGTAACACCATTCGTAACACCATTTGTAACACCATTCGTAACACCATTCATAGCACCATTCGTAGCACCATTTGTAGCACTATTTGTAACACCATTCGTAGCACCATTCGTAACACCATTCGTAAAACCATTCGTAGCACCATTCGTAGCACCATTCGTAGCACCATTCGTAGCACCATTCGTAGCACCATTCGTAACACCATTCTTAACACCATTCGTAACACCATTCATAGCATCCTTCGTAGCACCATTTGTAGCACTATTCGTAACACCATTCGCAGCACCATTCGTAACACCATTCGTAACACCATTCGTAGCACCATTCGTAGCACCATTCGTAGCACCATTCGTAGCACCATTCGTAACACCATTCTTAACACCATTCGTAACACCATTCGAAGCACCATTCGTAACACCATTCGTAGCACCATTCGTAACACCATTCGTAACACCATTTGTAACACCATTCGTAACACCATTCACAACACCATTCGCAGCACCAATCATTTTAGATGTAGTTGTATCCTACATTGTTGGCCAATGGCGCTCTAAAAAAGTCATAGGAGTCCGGTGGTATCTAACAACGATCAAACCTCACGATAATATTACTAGAGTCATTATCTATCTCCATAGATGAACAGATTTCGTTAGAGTCACTAGTTTCATACATTCACATGCTCCATAGATCAACTGGTATCACATATACACTTGTTTCAAAAATAGTTTCATAAATTTACAATTTACTAGATCCACCAATTTCCTCAAATCACTTCTATAACAGTTTCACTAGTTTCATATATTTACTAGTACCATAGATTCACTCGTATCATAAATTCACTAGTATCATAGAGTCAATGGAGTCATAGATTCACTAGAAGCATAGATTCACTAGTAACCTAAATTTACTAGCATCATAGATTCGCTAGTATCCTAAATTAACTAGCATCATAGATTCACTAGTATCCTCAATTAACTAGAGGCATAGATTCACTAGTATCCTAAATTAACTAGTAGCATAGATTCACTAGTATCCTAAATTAACTAGTATCATAGATTCACTAATATCCTAAATTAACTAGAGGCATAGATTCACTAGTATCCTAAATTCAATTGTAGCATAGATTCACTAATATCCTAAATTCACTAGTATCATAGATTCACTTGTATCCTAAATTAACTAGAGGCATATATTCACTAGTATCCTAAATTAGCTAGTATCATAGATTCACTAGTATCCTAAATTCACTAGTAGCATAGATTCACTAGTATCCTAAATTCACTAGTAGCATAGATTCACTAGTATCCTAAATTAACTAGTAGCATAGATTCACTAGTATCCTAAATTAACTAGTAGCATAGATTCACTAGTATCCTAAATTAACTAGAGGCATAGATTCACTAGTATCCTAAATTCACTAGTAGCATAGATTCACTAGTATCCTAAATTAACTAGTATCATAGATTCACTAGTATCCTAAATTCACTAGTAGCATAGATTCACTAGTAACCTAAATTCACTAGTAGCATAGATTCACTAGTATCCTAAATTAACTAGTAGAATAGATTCACTAGTATCCTAAATTCACTAGTAGCATAGATTCACTAGAATCCTAAATTAACTAGTATCATAGATTCACTAGTATCCTAAATTAACTAGTAGCATAGATTCACTAGTATCCTAAATTAACTAGAGGCATAGATTCACTAGTATCCTAAATTCACTAGTAGCATAGATTCACTAGTATCCTAAATTAACTAGTAGCATAGATTCACTAGTATCCTAAATTAACTAGTAGCATAGATTCCCTAGTATCCTAAATTAACTAGTAGCATAGATTCCCTAGTATCCTAAATTAACTAGAGGCATAGATTCACTAGTATCCTAAATTAACTAGAGACATAGATTCACTAGTCTCACAGACTTGCCTCCAGGTGGCGTGGTCATCCAGTCCGGTTGTCGTTTCTTGCTGACGACCATGATGCGACTCAGGATCTGACAACACTCTCCCTGGTCACACTCGACGTCATATGAACACGTGTCACCAACAGTAGCCTGTAGTTAGGGTCATTCAAAGATGTTCTTCATAACAAGCTAAAGTAACACTTTTTGTTTAGGGGAACAACAGTGCGGGGGAGGGGGGGAGGGGGGGGGAGGAGCTGGTGTCCTCGTTCTATAGTGGTAATATCACAATGTAAACAAACTCAAACCGTTTACAAAGATAATTATCGTACGTACAGTTATTGTGTACACATTAAGGGTTTTTTTTAGAAAAGGGCTTAGAGAAGAAAGGTAGTGAGATTGACTTATTGCCTTGAAGGTTTAGGAAAATGAGGTGTGCTCTGAAATATACACAATTATATCCGGCAAATAAATTGGTGAACGGGGTAAGGTATGATTTTACCCACCAGGGGTAAGGTATGATTTTTTGTTTGTCTAATTACCCACCAGGGGTAAGGCATGATTTTTTGTTTGTCTAATTACCACCAGGGGTAAGGTATGATTTTTTGTTTGTCTAATTACCCACCAGGGGTAAGGCATGATTTTTTGTTTGTCTAATTACCCACCAGGGGTAAGGTATGATTTTTTGTTTGTCTAATTACCCACCAGGGGTAAGGCATGATTTTTTGTTTGTCTAATTACCCACCAGGGGTAAGGTATGATTTTTTGTTTGTCTAATTACCCACCAGGGGTAAGGCATGATTTTTTGTTTGTCTAATTACCCACCAAGGGTAATGTATGATTTGTGGTTTGTCTAATTACCCACCAGATAGAAAATCATTACTGAACGAACTTTGGACCAATCCACAGAGATTACCCACATCAGATGTATATAAAGAGTGATTAGATGTTAAATTTAATGTGATGTAACGCGCTTCTCATGGCGCCATTTCCCATCAGGTCAACCTGGGCCGTGGCCAAAGGCGCAGCAGTCAGGCGTTGTATTCACTGAAGAAATCACCAAACATTGACGACAACTATTTCAATATTATTTTAAAAAGGCCATGATATGCAATGAGGGTTTGTCTTATTTGCATACACAGACGTTAAATAAATTGAGCGCTATATTTACGTCGACCATCTCTACTGCCAACTATCTTTACTGCCAACCTCTCTACTACCAACCATCTCTACTACCAACCATCTCTACTGCCAACCCTATTTTCTGCCAACCATCTCTACTGCCAACTATCTCTACTGCCAACCATCTTTACGGCCAACCATCTCTGCTGCCAACCATCTGTTCTGCCAACCATCTCTACTGCCAACCATCTCTACTGCTAACATCTCTACTGCTAACATCTCTACTGCCAACCATCTCTACTGCCAACCATATTTACTGTCGACTATCTCTACTGCCAACCATCTCTTCTGCCAACCATCTCTACTGCAAACCATCTCTATTGCCAAACATCTCTACTGGCGACCATCTCTACTAACAACCATCTTACTGCCAACCATCTCTACTGCCGACCATCTCTACTGCCAACCATATCTACTGCCAACACTCTCTACTGCAAACCATCTCTGCTGCTGACCATCTCTACTGCCAACCATCTCTACTGCCAACCCTCTCTACTGCCAACAATCTCTACTGCCAACCATCTCTACTGCTAACCATCTCTACTGCCAACCATCTCTACTGCCAACCATCTCTACTGTCAACCATCTCTACTGCCAACCATCTCTGCTGCTGACCATCTCTACTGCCAACCATCTCTACTGCCAACCATCTCTACTGCCAACCATCTCTACTGCCAACCATCTCTACTGCCAACCATCTCTACTGCCAACCATCTCTACTGCCAACCATCTCTACTGCCAACCATCTCTACTGCCAACCATCTCTACTGCCAACCATCTCTACTGCCAACCCTCTCTACTGCCAACCATCTCTACTGCCAACCATCTCTACTGCCAACCATCTCTACTGCCAACCATCTCTACTGCCAACCCTCTCTACTGCCAACCATCTCTACTGCCAACCATCTCTACTGCCAACCATCTCTACTGCCAACCATCTCTACTGCCAACCCTCTCTACTGCCAACCATCTCTACTGCCAACCATCTCTACTGCCAACCATCTCTACTGCCAACCATCTCTACTGCCAACCATCTCTACTGCCAACCATCTCTACTGCCAACCATCTCTACTGCCAACCATCTCTACTGCCAACCATCTCTACTGCCAACCATCTCTACTGCCAACCCTCTCTACTGCCAACCATCTCTACTGCCAACCATCTCTACTGCCAACCATATTTACTGTCGACTATCTCTACTGCCAACCATCTCTTCTGCCAACCATCTCTACTGCAAACCATCTCTATTGCCAAACATCTCTACTGGCGACCATCTCTACTAACAACCATCTTACTGCCAACCATCTCTACTGCCGACCATCTCTACTGCCAACCATATCTACTGCAAACACTCTCTACTGCAAACCATCTCTGCTGCTGACCATCTCTACTGCCAACCATCTCTACTGCCAACCCTCTCTACTGTCAACAATCTCTACTGCCAACCATCTCTACTGCTAACCATCTCTACTGCCAACCATCTCTACTGCCAACCATATTTACTGTCCACTATCTCTACTGCCAACCATCTCTAATGATGACCATCTCTACTGTCAACCTTCTCTACTGCCAACCATCTTTACTGCCAACCATCTCTGCTGCGAACCATCTCTTCTGCCAACCATCTCCACTGCCAACCATCTCTACTGCTAACATCTCTACTGCCAACCATCTCTACTGCCAACCATATTTATTGTCGACTATCTCTACTGCCAACCATCTCTTCTGCCAACCATCTCTACTGCAAACCATCTCTACTGTCAAACATCTCTACTGGCGACCATCTCTACTAACAACCATCTTACTGCCAACCATCTCGAATGCCGACCATCTCTACTGCCAACCATCTCTACTGTCAACCCTCTCTACTGCAAACCATCTCTGCTGCTGACCATCTCTACTGCCAACCATCTCTACTGCCAACCCTCTCTACTGCCAATAATCTCTACTGCCAACCATCTCTACTGCTAACATTCTCTACTGCCACCCATGTTTACTGCCAACCATATTTACTGTCCACTATCTCTACTGCCAACCATCTTTACTGCCAACCATCTCTACTGCGAACCATCTCTTCTGCCAACCATTTCTACTGCCAACCATCTCTATTGCCAACCATCTCTACTGCTAACATCTCTACTGCCAACCATATCTATTGCCAACCATATTTACTGTCGACCATCTCTACTGCCCGCCCCCTCTACCGTAAACCATCTCTACTGCCAACCATCTCTACTTCCCGCCCCCTCTACTGCAAACCATCTCTACTGTTAACCATCTCTACTGCCAGCCCCCTCTACTGCCAACCATCTCTACTGCAAACCATCCCTACTGTCAACCATCATGTTGATTTAAACTATCAATGCTTTTATTTCATGAATTTAAATCGCAAATTATAATAAAGATAATTTCTTTGATTACACCGACCAATGCCCCAGTACAATCACGTAGAGCTCCCACTAACACATAACAGTCGTTTCGACATGTACTCACGTACGAGACTGCGACCATACAAGCCACAGTAAGTAGTAACGAAGTCAAGTCCATCTTTCTGGATGTCAGTGGTCAGTTTACTTTCAGCTGAAATTGTCAAGTTAGTTATGAATTCATCATTATCAAAGTTCACGTATTTGTTAGACTGCTTCAGGTAAAGAAAGTAGTTTTTAAAGTACACATTTTGAATGATACGTATAAAAACCTACCTGTACCAGTGTGATGTCACCGTTGATGGTGTAGCTGAGTTCTACAGCTTTGGCGCGCGCGCAACTGACCCATATATGTTGTAGGCTGACTCATCTTACTAAAAGCGCAAAAAACGTCCTGATACGCAATCATGCGTCTCCATCATTCCCGTCATGCCTTACACCTGGGTCACACGTTTCCATCAATCCCGTCATGCCTCACACCTCGGTCACAGGAAACCACCCAGCGGTAATGTATTCTAACTAAGTCCCTCACACCTTTCAACTCACGGGGGATTTAACAGATGGGGGTCAAGTGTCAGACGATAACTGTTAGAGATATTCTGTGAACCTCAGTGGCGTAGCTAAGGCGGTGCGGACAGCACCTGGTGAAACTGACCCTAACTACGCCACTGGTGAACCTCATCTATCGTATGATCTACCGCCTCGTCACATTACACCAAACTAGTGTTGTCGTCTCTTTAAAACTACGGCAGAGTCTTCTGTCCACTGGAAGCTGTCCACTAACTCAAGCCAGCGTTGGTCAATAATTTGGATAACTCCCAGCTAGCACGGGCCTGGACATCACTCCCAGCTAGCACGGGCCTGGACATCATTCCCAGCTAGCACGGGCCTGGACATCACTCACAGCTAGCACGGGCCTGGAAATCACTCACGGCTAGCACGGGCCTGGACATCACTCACAGC